ATATTAGTAGTATTCTGTTAATAGAACACAATAATATAGTATTCTCTCGTCAACAGAGTGACTGCAAAATATATGCAGAATATTAGTAGTATTCTATTAGAATATAGTAATATAGTATTCTCTCGTCAACAGAGTGACTACAAAATATATGCAGAATATTAGTAGTACTCTATTAATAGAATATAGTAACATAGTATTCTCTCGTCAACAGAGTGACTGCAAAATATATGCAGTATATTATAGTATTCTATTAACAATATATAGTAGTATAGTATTCTCTCGTCAATAGAGCGATTGCAAAATATATGCAGTATATTAGTAACATTCTAATGGAATATAGTAGTATAGTATTCTCTCATCAACATATGTATGTCAATATACTTTGTCCTGCCATTTTCTTTGTAGAAGCTCCGGTAAAATCCAAACACATCGTCTCGTATCTCACCCTCGAACTCGATCGTCAACGTGTACTCACTGGGCTCCAGTACCCTCTCGGTTTTTACAACGTAGAACTGCCTTTCTCGATCGTGAAACTGGCACAGGATATTCTCGAGGCTCGAAGGAGATTTGCTTCGACGAAGAGTCACCTGTTCCTCTACGATACGCAAACCATCGCTGTGCAACACGATAGTGTTTGTCGGTTCGAGGACTTTCAGTAGTATCGACACCAATCCGAGATACGTGAAGTCTCTCTCGTTCTTCTCCAAATGAACAGTGTATTTCGTCGGGACGACATCTTTGGGAAGTCTGTACGACAAGTGATCGGTATTGTTCTCGGTTGCGTTTCTCTTGGACGACAGATTGCGAGGGCACACGTCGAGTAGCGTCACTGTTGCAAACCCGGTGATCAAATGTATGAGGATGCAGAATTGTAATTCACGCTTCATGGTACTACTGTTATTATTATTATTATTACGTTTCGTGCATCGGTATTGCGATCAGAAGCTGTTAACGTCGTGTTAACCACGTTCATCACCAATCACTGAATCCACAATAATTTCGTTTATCTTTCAGTCACTGGTTCGATAGCGCAGCTCTTTTCAATCCAATCTCGTCAATCTCTGCTGAAGAGAAGGCAGAGACCTGATAAAATGGGTAATCGTGTGAGATCGGGAGTGATTTTGATTTTCTTGATTTTCTCGAAATTATTTATATATTCTATTTCGAGTTGGTTTTACGATTTAATTTTCATTTGCGCTGTTTATTAATTTTGAGAATGTTTGCAACAGTGACAGATAATAAACTGAACATTAGCATAGTATGAAGATAGTAGAATATTTTTGAATTTAATTATTTTAAGGGAATCTGATTTAATAATTAAAGTTTGTATTTAATAATGAATAATTAATATTTAATATTTAATATTTAATAATTAAAGTTATAATTTATATTATAATTAATTAATTTAAGAATTAAAATTATAATTTATATATTTATTATAATTTATTATAATTTAATATTTAATAATTAAAGTTTGCATTTATTTTCTTTTTAATAATTAAAGTTTGCTTTGTTACGGGCGGTAACGTTGTACAATTATTTTTGTAGCTTTTATCTTGGTTAAGCAACTCCGATTATTAAGAATGTTCGTTATTTACTAGTAATATTTCAATCTCATTTTTCTTCTTACTTAATGTTGCTTTATCTAAACGCTGTGCAATGAACTTCTACTGTATTTCATCAGTAGGTTAAACCTATTAAGAACAATTAAAGAAAACAGGAATTTATCAGCAATAAATTATAATCTTATCGCTTTATATACAGTACTTGACAATTGATACGTTTGCGTTTTACAAGATGTTCGTGATTACGAAGTTGCCTGCTTGATGCTTGCCAATGCTAATTGTTTAATTGCGTTTCAATCTGTCAGCTTTATTTCATTTGTAAAATTATTTTAAAGGATAGTTGGTGGCGATAATAATTCAAAAGACGGTTTGACAAATTACATTAGGAAATTTAACAATCAGCCATCCATTTCATAAATTGTTTCAAAATTCAGTTTTAATGCAGTTGGGGATTTTTTAAATAACATAAATATAAATAAATTATTTTTGTAGTAGCTGGCATTAATAATTCGATTTGATCGAAAATCACAGATACCTACGCCTTTTTTGATTTGCAACGGTGACAGATGATAAACTGAAAATTAGCGTCGCATAAATGAAGATCATAGAACATTTTCGAATATAAATATTTTAAGAAAATTTAATAATTAAAGTTTGCATTTATTACTCTGTACGATGTTTTATTTAACACGGCGCCATAATAATCGTACAGTTTCGATGAAAAGTAAATTAAATAATTTTATGTATTACTATTATTGTTATTAATGTAATTTTATGTTTCTTTTCTTCTTTCGTGTTATACTTCTTATCAATGATCATGAGGTATCAAACTACGATGATATTACACGCAAATGATGCTTTGCAATTAGCAATCGATCAATGTAAATTTTGTGTAACGTTACATTGATCCTTTTGTTTCGTAATTTTATCAGGAGGGGAAAGGAAAGACACGATAATTCTTCTCGTACGATGAAAAACAGACGAAAATTACCACGTTTCGATTGTTTTATTCTGAGCAAAGTACAAAACACGTTCCAGCTTAAAGTCTAACCGCAAAACTTGCGGATTTCTGCGGCCGAGCGTCGTGGCGTAAGCTCGCAATAATTTAATTTAAGGCAACTCTGTCGTAAATCTATGTATACGCGTTCACGTCCTCTTCAAATATATTACTATTCACCACCGTCGTATAAATCATAAAGTTTCGTTCCCTTATTACAAGCTGACTCGCAAACATAATAAGTTTCCTACGCGCTCGTTCCTTCGAGCAATTGAAGAAGAAAAAAAAAAAAAAGAAAAAAAGAAAAAAAAAGGGAAAAGGAAGAAGAAGAACGAAACCCGAAAGATCGTTCGGAACTTCGGATAACAAACTACTCCGACTAGACAAGCAAGCGATTGATTTTCCAAGCAGAATGCGTTCATTGTAATTACAAATAACGTGCGCTATTTACAGAATCCCTCTTCAACGTACACTCGGGATCTCGACGCTGTATTCTACGAAGAATAAATTAATGTATCATAGGAATAAATTGTATTGAACGGTCAAGTGAAGCTTACGAGCTTCTTGCAGTTGATTTGTTCTCTGTGAGAGAGAAAAGAAATGATAAAAATTAAGAAGTACAGACTGTTCATTGTGCCGATGGTAATTTAGGCTGTAGACATTTATGCCAGAAATGAGTACGAGGATAAATAAAAATGTCTAATAGAGAGAAAGAAATAAACTAAAGTTAAAAGTATCGAAAGTGTTACATTTTGAAATGTACTCGTTCGGGCGAATGCGAATTACTTTTCTGCGTCTGGGTGAAAATGAGCTCGCATAAATGCTCACGGTTGTGTAATGCAAGACTAATATAATGAATGAAAAATGTTCCTCTTAAACGTACGTGTACAAAACGTTTATGGTAATCGTCATCAGCTTCTTCTCTGTTCTTCAATTCATTCTTCGATACAGTAGGCAAAGCATAAAATATATAATATCACTATTTAAATTGTCGAGAAGATTATTTGCATTGCGACTTATTGCTTTCAGCGAATTCGCGTTTCGTACGATAATAATATATTAATAGAATAATCCGTAGGAGTAGAAATCTTATGAAAATCTTCGGTTTCAGTTATACGATCTTAATAATAGTTCAGAAGTCAACATCAGCGATAGGAATTTCATTGTCGACTTCATCAGCAATTCCGTTCAACTTTCAACGTTCCGATCGAGCTAGTTTCGCACCGACGGAGCGAAGTATCCAATACTAAATGCATATAATACTAATTCTCACTCCGACATCGACGCCAGTACGTTTCAATAAATTATTGTCTGCCTCTGTAAACAGTACGCCGAGCGAATTAATTCCTAATCGAATGAATTCAGTGTGAACGACCGCACATTGGACAGGACCGATGAAAAAGTTCGTTCGTTTATTTACGGCGGTTTATTTATTGTGTTGAAAGCGAGTTAAAAATAAATTAATTAAAAATAACAACGGCCATCTTCATCCGTGTGTCCCCCACTTACGCTTTTAATTGAGATTTCAGTTGAAAAGGAAGAACGAACTTTTGCATTTGACTTAATGTCAAGTTGAATTGTTTCTTTTTCTTTTTCTTTTTTTTTTTTTTCTACGATTTTTACTCATATCTTTGAATCGTATTTGCACGAATCTCGAGTTACTGCGAAAGCATAAATGTGACTCTGTGCTCTTTTTTTGGTTCAAGTTAAAATCATTAAAATCTCCTTTCTCTTAGCTTTTTATAACATTGTGCAGTTTGGAGATATTAATCCACTTGTTTCACTATTGTATTCCATCGATACATCATCGACCACTTGCGCTGAAACGACGTGCCACGTTCTTTTGTCCCAAAATTGTGACATCTTTTTCCTCAGTTTCTAAGTACATTTAAGTAAAACAGAAATAGGCGAAACAAATAATATATTTATCACAGCTCAATAATTTCTATCCAGCGATATCGTACCGACGAATTATTGTGTCACGGTTTGGTCACTCGTTATGGTCCGCAATCGGCTGCCAACACAAGCGGTTGAATACGTGAAACCTTATATATTAGTCTATTTATTTAAAAAAATCATTAGTTTAGGAGACATTTTAGTTTTAATTTTGTAAAATTATCGTATGAAAGACAAAGGTAGTATAAATACTATCCATCTTCTTCCGTGTCTTTCGTACGATAATTTTACGAAATTAAAATTAAAATATCTCCTAACGATTTTTTAACACATAAATAGGTTAATACTTTTTTTATAAAGAATATAAACTGACGTAACAAAAAAATATATAACTCCATTTAAAGAAACATTGATGACCTTCATATGTCCTCTACACGTCCTACAAGAAAACCAGTGCCACGCACGTTGAGAACTTTTCGTCCCAAAATTTCCTCAGTTTTAAGTATATTTAAGTGAAACAAAATATGCAAAGCAAGTAATAAATTTATCACTTCTCAATAATTTCTGTCCAGCGACATCGTACCAACGAGTTGAAAACGAAAGCGACGAATTATTTTATACGGTATTGGTCACTCGTTATGGTCCGCAATCGGCTGCCAGCGCAAGTGGTTAAAAGGGTAGTAAATTAGATTAGTTTAGGACACATTTTTTTTTTTTTTTTCAGAACAAATCAGAATAGATGAGAATAAACAGTTGCTACTGTTGACCTGTTAAAGATGATTAATTTAACAAGTGAAGGAAGTATTTGGTCGTAGAGTTTAATTTCAAGAGAACCGGGGAAGTCAGTTTGCTACCTTCCTTCAGTCTTTTGAATTTCCAAAAACGAGCTTCAAAAAATCAGGACACCTCCAAAGAACTCGAGGGTATAAAAAAATTTAAAAAAAAAAAAAAAGAAAAAAGAAAATTCGATGTAAATAAAAATAAAGGTAGAACCTGGTTCTTTCAGAATAACTCGAGATTGCGAGGGCACGTTCCAATCACAGAGCAGTTTCCAGCGTCGGAACGCTCGGGCTACGCGCGACGTTCTGCACCGCGGGATTCTGAGGTGACTCGGATCTCGCGCGAAACATCCTCTGCGCGTAACTGTTGCGCTCGTTGCCGACGGTGGGCGTGCTAGCCAGGAACTGCGCCCTGGCCAATTGATTGCTAATCCGCCTCGACTCGAAAGCGTTTATCGCTTGCTGGCACGAGGGGGTGAGCTGCGAACAATTCGCAGGAGGATACGAGATCATCGCGGTGTTGCTGATCTTCGCGTCGATCGAAACGGACGATGGAACGCTCGAGATCGACGAGATCGGAACGTTGATCGGGCGATTGTTGTCGTCGGTCGCGGTGAAACTCTCTGTGCATGCTTGTTGCTGCACGTTTAAACTGTTGGATGGTTCCCTCTCCTCCGTGCAAGAAGATTCCAAGTTAGTGCCGGAGAACGTTAATCTCTCGTTGCAAGCGACCGGATCTTTGTCGATTTCCGGCAGATCGCTGCAGAGATCCAATTGCTGCCTGACGTTCAGCCTCGACACCGGCGACGCGTTCTCCGGAGAAGGTTTCATCGCCTTCTCCTCGGCGGCCGTGTCCTCGATTATCGTCGACGACAACACGTCCGTCCGTGGCGTTTGAAACCTCCACACCGAGCGAGGACTGAGGACTTTGGCCAACGAGGCCGTTTGCTGCACGGTCGGCGACGATTGTTGTTGCTGCTGGCTTTGCTGTCGCGATAGCTTCAGTTGCTCCGCCGCCGAAAGCCTCGCCGGCCCGGTCTTCACGCTCTGCTGGAGTAAGAGACGTTTGAAGTCCAGCCGAGACGTGGTCGGCGATGGTGGCTGAACGTTCTGCGATATCTGGAACGAGGTAAATTCGATTTGTAAACTCGAGATGTTGAATACTACTCGAAGTACGGTGAAAAAAAAATCGTACAGCTAGGTTTCAAATGGAATATGATATATATATCTATTGACCGATGGAGCTTAATATTCCCAACAAAGTATTAAACGCTTGTGTTGCGCTGGCAGCTGATTGCGGACCGTAACGAGTGACCAAGCCAAACAATACAATAATTCGTCGCTTTCTTCTTGAACACGTCGCTTTGGCGTCACTGAATAGAAATTATCGAGAAGTAATGAATTTACTATTTGTTTTGCCTGAGTTATACCTAACACTAGAACTACCACAGCGATCAAAATGACCAGTTTATAATTGTATAGAGTAATTGTAGAGTTACAAGTGTTATAATTGTAGAGTTACATTTTTTTAAAAATTCGAGTGGTTTTTGCAGAATATATGAATAAAAGTTCGTGTTCATTATTGTATTATAAATCTTTTCCTATTCCTTGCATTCTAATTTCTTTGACTCAATTTTTATACTTTAGTCCTCGGTAGTTCTAGTGTTAAATGTACTCAAAAAATATAGTTAAAACTGAGAAATGTATTTAAAAAACGTACTTAAAACTGAGAAAATGTAGTATATTTTGGGACAAAAAATTCCAGCGCAAGAGGTTAAATCTACGTACGTCAAAAAATTACTAGTTCAATTTTATAAAATCTGCATGCATTAAACAATACGAACGCAAGAATATTATTCCTCTCTTTTCTTGAATTTCAACAGAATTAAGACTAAAATGTATTCTGAATTCATGATTCTTTTAACATAAATAAAATTTGATAGAATTTTGTAAGAAATAATGACCTTCATACGTTCATTTACAAGAGAGTTGCTTGCACTAGACTAAAACTCTCTTGAGGTAACTTTAAAATATTTTCATTTCTTGTCTGAACTACTTTCTTTCTACGATAGGTCTGCTTATACGAGTAGACATCCTGTGTTCCCCCAATCATATCTTATGTTCCATGTTTCAATTTAAAAGTGTTATACAGAGTGTATCTATGTACTTCACAATTAGATCATTAGATTCACACAATTTTATTTCCTCATAAACATAACTGAAAAAACGAAGAATGGAATAAAAATTTGCTCGAACACGATAATAAACATTCTACCTTGAGCAGAATTTACAAATTTTCCTTTCGAAAACCGTGTTACATGTATTCTGAAATTTTAAACTTCTCAGAATTTATTCATAAACATTCGAGACCTATTCATAACAGTATTGAAACTAGTATTTAAACCACACAAACATACCGTGGCAAATCTCTGCGACTCAGAGGTCCAGTTGTTTCTGTTCGTAGGCGTTGTTGTCTTCGCCAACGAATTGGTCGATCCGTACGGAGAGAGATTCTCGTTGTCGTCTTTGATATTCAGTCTTTTCTTCGATTTGTGTATCGCGGCGAACAGCTCCTCGTTGGACATGGTGCTCTTCGTCGGCGAGAGGATCAAGTTGGTCGGCGTGCTTCGGCCAGACGAACTTTGGACAGGCGTGCTTCTTCCAGAATTCGGCATCGACAACGAGCTGTTATTGTTGTTGCTGGCGGTTAGAGCCAAACGTTCGGCAACAGTTGGCATACTACGGCCGCACGACTTGAAACTATTGCCGTAGCTGTGCCCGATCGGCGAAATTGGATTGTACTTTAACGCATCAGCACTTGGAGACTTCGTAACGGGATCATGAACAGGCGAGGACGCGAAGAATCGATATCCAAGCGCTGTCAGTCCTAATGGTGTTGCGAATCTGGGTGAAGAAAAAGAAGAATCGCCGGTGACTTCTGTTTCGACATTGCGTTCGTGGTATCATAGTGTGAAATCGCAAAATTTTCCAGTAAAGAAAAAGTTTCTTTTAAACTGCAATCAATTGCTTTTCCCTCTCTTCTTCTACGTTGTCAGTATGATAATTTATTTATGAATGTAATAATCTATGTGACGCGGGCGTAACATCGAACACAATCGAACATTGGTATTTACTTTTATATAAGAAATCGTTAGGCTAGGAATCTTTTGCACATTCTTTTTTAATAAAGCACGAACAAAAATGCATCGACAGAAATTTCTGGGTGGGCAAATGAAATAAAAATATCATGATGCTAGAGAAGCAATTTTAGATTAAAAAAGTCAATTCTAGATCGATCGTTTAAATCGAAAACTAGGCCAGATATTCTGCGTTTCCCAAGTTACATTCCATATTATATATTTTACGTTCATTGCCTTCTAAACTATATTTATGTGTTACTGCTTTAATAACAGTTAGAATTTTTTACTGTCCTCCGTTTCATATTTCAAACTAAATTATAAAGTTTCAAGCTATTTGAAACTAAATTATAAAGTTTGAAACTATTTTAAACTAAATTGTAAAATTTTAAATTATTTTAAACTAAATTATAAAGTTTCAAGCTATTTTAAACTAAATTATAAAGTTTCAAGCTATTTCAAACTAAATTATAAAGTTTCAAACTATTTCAAACTAAATTATAAAGTTTAAAACTATTTTAAACTAAATTATAAAGTTTCAAACTATTTTAAACTAAATTATAAAATTTCAAACTATTTCAAACTAAATTATAAAATTTGAAACTATTTTAAACTAAATTGTAAAATTTCAAACTATTTTAAACTAAATTATAAAGTTTCAAACTATTTCAAACTAAATTATAAAGTTTCAAACTATTTTAAACTAAATTATAAAATTTCAAACTATTTCAAACTAAATTATAAAATTTGA